CGGCAGTATCGCCTTCTTCAGAGCCGCTTTTTTCGTGACTTCCAATGAGGAAGTTTAGAACAGCTGATTATAGTCGCATGTGGTTGACGACTCAATGTATGCTGCTTAAAAACCTCGCGATTGCTGAACAAGAAAACGACAGTTTCAAATACAAAATGAGGTGGACCTTGATGAAATGAATCATTGACTAAGAAACAATTGATAAAGGATACAATCGTGCTTTTGTAACGCTGTGATTATGTAAGCAGTGTTAAGTAGTATCAAGTAAGCAAAAGTGTTTTTCTTTCAGATGTTTCACTAAACTACAATCCATGGGTGATCGTACATCTTGGCGGTCCTTCAGCCGCTCTAATGAAGGCCGGCTGTACAATAACAGTGGCCATTGCGTTCGATCGTGTAAGGGCATTATACTTTCCTCTGCACTACTATCAACAAAGGAAGGCTTAGTCAGTTTAAAATTATCCCTTTATAAGCGTTAGTTAATTAACTACTATTGACTAACTACTGGTTAGTCATTCTTAAGTATTCTTGGCGGATTTAAGTTTTATGTGTACTCTCGCAACAGTACATGTATTTCGTTTAAAATAATGACACCTTCTACTAAAAAACCTTTTTAAAAAAGTGTTGGGGCGTTGTTTATCATTTAAAATAATTAAGTGGAGCAATTCATCTACACTATCCATTAATGTGAGTGTTAATATGTGAGCACACAAGGTTTTTCGGGACGCTCATTGAGCGTTATTTCGAAGGTTATGTAGCACTTACAGTTTTGGGAAATATTGAGCCCACTTTTAGTGAGTGAAAAATTGGACTGATTTCTACATATTTGCTGCAGCAATCATAGTTGAGCACTACAAGATAAAGATTCTTTCCCTACTCCTATGTGATCTCTCAGTTCATATACTTGTCAACAAACGTCTTTGATAATTATTGAACACTTGAATAGCCTGTTCTCACGATACCTGTAGACTACTGCATATCTCCTATTTCATTCTTTCCTTCCCAAACGTTGTCGTTTGTGGTTATCTGTTTGGTGGCGTCTGCCATTGCCATTTCTTCAGTCACAATTTCTTTTCAGCCGAAAATGAAACTGAGTGACGTGAGCGGCCGACATGATCTTGCCTATATTGTATGTGGTCGTCTCATTCGTTGTCATTCGTTGTTCTTCTCGTCCATTATTTGCCAGTTTATTTCAAAGCCGATTCATCTAAATCTCATATGAGATGCTTTCCTGCATCTCGAAGGGGAGACACTTTCCTGAGATATGAACGGTGCACTCTGACTTTATTTTTTGTATTCCGACTACTTTTTAAAAATGAGTGGTGCACGTGGTTAAAGTGGCAACCGAGGTTCCAGCTGTATAATAGAGAGTTATGAAGGCCGCCTAGTTAAAAGTTGACCGCAGAGCTATCCGTCAGCTGGCTGATGGCTGCTCTAAAAAGAACACAAGCTGCTCATGCTCACATCTGCCCATAGAAACTGACTTTTACGACCTCGGACACACTTTGTATACGATTCACTGAAAACAATTCTGTTGAAGTCCTGCTTGCTGAAATGGACAAGTTGCACCGAAGGTCTCCGAATCCTCAGTATATTCATAAGTCCTAAATAACTTTCCAGTCCCTGTATCATCGTGCACTAAATCTTCAACTGGCCGCAGATTTTCTAGCTCCAAAGATGTAGTGCCTTTTTGGTTGTGAGAATTTCGTAAAGTTTGCTACGTCCAACAAAGCGCTTTGAAAAAACTGAATTGTCTTGTCCTGCAACGGCATCTCTCTTTATGCTCTTGCTGCAGACTTTAGAGCAGCTCGGACTTCAGAGCGTAGTACTTGAGATCGCTTTCATTCTGCGCATATTTTCTAGTTTTGACAATGGCTGTCGAACACAAAGAGTAAGGAAGGAGAATATTTCCTTTGTCAAGTCTAAATTATTACTGGAAGTTGTAGTAATATCGGTCACTTAAAGGAAAAGCATTTCGAATGTCCTCGTTCATTAAGGCATTCACTTTTCTTCTTAGATGACGATATCAGCCCTTTCGGAGATGTGACGGAATCGAAACTTTCCAGGAATGTGGTGATTGAACCTGGTGCAAAAGGGTGACTCTAGTGAGGTGTTAAAAACTCGATCCTTTTTTTGTGAAAAAAATTATCGCCGTGTAAGTTGATGCAGTAGGTTAAGACGAAGACGACGTGATCGGACCTGGCATGACAATATCGACAGCAATAGAGGTAGATAGTGACAGTGCCTTTTTTCACAAATGACAAGAATCTTCCTGAATTTTGCTCCAAGACCATCACTTCACTCGGTGTGAGCTGCGGTTCCCTTAACGTCGTGAAGGTTTGTACTTCAAGGCGACTGCTGTATTATAACCACAAGATTGCTGAAAAATTTGCAAAACTCTGGATCGCAGGTGTCAACGGTGGTGGATAAACGCGCTATTGTCCTTTCCGGGGAGTAACGCGTTCACCACCACACCATGCTGGTCCTTCTTTCGCTTTTCTCTCAGCTAGTTCTATCGATCAGTGCCATCAGCAATCACCCGTCAACGGGATTGATCTGGAGAGCTCTAATCAGAAATGAACCCAATTAGGCTGAGACTGTAGTTGAATTCACACTGTTTTACTTTTTATTTTCTGCGTCTATAATTTTAATGGTAGGGTATTAAGCGAAATAAGTACACAAGATTACTGAGATATTTGCAAAACCCCGGACCGCAGGTGTCTACGGTGGGAAACGAACGCACTATTGTCTTTTCCGGGGTGGGATCAATCCCGCTGACGAGTGATTGCTGACGGCACTGATTGATAGAGCTAGCTGAGAGACAGGCGAAACGAAGGATCTCCATGGTGTGGTGGTGAATGCGTTACTCCCCGGAAAGGACAATAGCGTATTCGTTCCCCACCGCAGACAGCTGCGGTCCGGAGTTCTGCAAATATCTCAGCAATCTTGTGGTTGTATTTCGCTTAATACCCTGCCATGAAAATTATGGATAGCAGAAAATAAAAAGTAAAACATGCCGTATTATGGTTGTAGGGCACTAAATAGGAACAATCATCTGTCCAATATTAATCCAGTGACTTCCAGCGTCACATAAAATATGGCTGTGGCTCACCGGCTGTCTGTCCACTCATCGTGGCACACGTTATCCTTTATTGTTGCTACGTTAGCGTTTTTTTTTTGCCTTAGTCGAAGCTCTGAGGTAGTCTGTTATATGGTTCTTCGGTGATCACAGTAGACAATCGCTGTTATTTGCGAATTAGGGGATGATTTCTCTTCTCGCGACTGCCTCGCTACTATGGTGACACGGTGATCACTTGATTGGTGATTCGTGGCCTCATTTTATTCGTAGTTCGCCTTCAAAACAGAAATCCCAAACGATTTTTGAGCTTACAAGACCCTGCTTTGGGACCGGTTCCTTGTTGTGCATCCTAACTCAGCATACAAAAGCCCAACAACAATGCCATGGTGAGCTAGTGAGCAGCGAGTCAACAGCATTTTAAAATGGCTCATTTTTTGCTTAACTCTCAACAACACTTTTCGTCATGCAAATTTAATAATCATAATTTTAATTGGCTCAAATAATTATAGCTGGTCGGTTGGTGCACTCGTATTCTCGTTGGTTCTCACGTTTATTGATTGGATAGTTCTGCAACTCACAGTAACCATTGAGCCTGTTCCTGGTTGTGGTTCGTTCGGATGCTTCACGAATGAGGTGCTGTCCAAACTCCATCGTTTGCACGTCCGTAGTTTTGTTATAATCATCTTTTTCAGGTTTTCCGTGCATATTGGGGTTTGTCTAACATGGTAGTGAATCTAATAGCTTGTCTCCTCACTTTGGTAATCATTTATCAACTCTTCAAAAAGTCCAAAGCAATCGCTGATCTCGAGAGAAGAAATCGAGCTAAAATCGACAAAAGCGTAAGTTTCTTTTTACGACTGCGTATTTAATTTGACTATGTATACATACATACACATATACATATACATATACATATACGTATATGTATAATGGTTAGGTGACGCAGTGGTAATGATGCCGTTCATAGAAGGTGCTGGTCCAGACGCCCATCGGGCCACACGAAGCCTCTCGTTTCACCCGGGGCGAAAATTTTGAACCAAACTTTTTTGGGATCAGTTCACTCGCTCCAATTCACGTAGAATTGTGAAGTGACACAGAAATGATGTATATACTTGATACTTGAATGGCCTGTCCTCACTGGTTGTACGGGCTCCAGCATAATCTCCATTTTTCGGAGATTTGTTGGTTAAGCCATTATGTTTCCTTGGAGTTCCGAGGTCATCTTGACCAAAGTCTGCCCCAGGTCTTCATCACCACGGGCAGTCGCAGCCCTTGTGGATTAGAGGGAGATTTACCACCATGCGACTTTGATAACAGGACGGTGGTGGACCCTGGTACTGGTTTACTCTTAGCTAGGTTTCCTGATGGAAACACTGGATTCCTTCTCAGCTTGGGAGATGCCATCGGGGATGAATCCTCCGCTGTACATCGCAGTCCGACACCCAGGAACACCTCCCAGCCACGATGAGACGGTAAACCGTTAGAAGGAGTGATTTATATATTTATATATATTTAAATCAAAAGTAGTAAATAGGGAGTTTTAGTCTACTTACTTTTAACTCTGTCAGCAAATCGTATAGAAATCATGGAAACACCTTTTCAAATCTCCAAACGTCCTAAAGAATTTTTGGAACCCTCATAGGATGTGTTTAAGGCTAATCGCGTAGCTATCTATATTCTCCTTGTGTCGGCTACAATTGGAGTGATACCGGGATGTTTAAATGGTGTTACAACAATAGTGAATTTATCGGTGAGATCTTTACCGCAGTGTTTAATTTCTATAGTAATAAACAAAATGCCTTTTATCTGTGGTGACAAGGTCGTAAGTTTTGGTGTTAAACCTGTGTGAAGAGCTCTTGTAGAGTTTCTATTATATTCCAAGTATTCTTGTCATTGATAAACTAAAATAAGGTTCGTGAAAAAAACTTCATTCGGCTGACGTTTCTGCACCTCTCCGTCTTCACAGCCGGATGGAACCGAGTCGATTGCTCACACTTCTTTATTCCATCCGATGTTGCTATTCGTGATCGCATCAAGTAGAATCCAAAGAAAAAGAAGAAAAACAAAGAAACGAAAGAATACATGCTAATAAGTCACGCAGAGGTTAAAAGAAAGTGGCTTCTCAAGTATTGTTATGCTCTGTGCAGTTGTTAATGACGCGGAGAGGTGTAGGATGGATTGCTTGGAGAAGAACAAACGGCTTTCAACGGGCAAACAGTATCAACGGCCATCCTGGATTATATAACACTGCCGAATGAGGTTGGTTCATTCGGACGGTACTTCATTAGATTAGATTCGACTCGATGCTATCTCGAAGTCTAACAACGGAAGGAGGAACAACTGTGGGCGATCGACTAGAAATCGAATGTGGGAAGTGCTGGGATCCGCACAGTAGATATGAAGACAGATCAAATGGAAACAATAAAAAAATAACAATATTCTTTCTTTAATTGGATCAAAGTTGTTATCATACTAGTCGATTAAAAGGTTTATTACGGTGTATGCTCTACTAATAGTGTTACCAGACCTGTCGGAGGAGATTGTAAATTCTCTTAAAATTCTAAGTTAAAACCGCATTTTGATTTGAAGCTTCTAAATCCTGTTGAAGTCAACGTGTCAGATGCTTTACTTCAGGTGCTCACTGAGGTGTCATTTTTTGTCGGAGCAAGTGCAACATTGTCCGGCCTTTCACATGCATTCATCTTTGGAATAGCTCACCGTGATATTAAATATACAATTTTAAATAAGATCTTTAAACATGGAGCAATCCCACCGTCGGCAGAAATAGAAATGACTAGCCATATTGCAGTGTCTTCTTACCAAAGGCAAGTGCATATACAGTGACAATTTAATGCCTGAATGACTTCGCGAGCTTAAGCGCTGACCGTAGGGCTATCCAACCATTGATATCCTAAATAAGGAAACATGAGGCTACATTTGAAGAACTAAAAGGCAATAACCGATTGAAGGTACACTCCTCGTTTGAATGATTTTACCCACCAGCAAAACATTTCAAGTCATAACTGTTCCTTTTTTTCAAGTGTTAATTCATCACTTTTGATCACTCTAAAATGGTGTTCGTTAATCGAGATGGTTAAAGAGTCTTCTTCCTACTATGAGGAGTTCTGATTTTGAAAACTGTAACTGTTGTTGTGTCAACTTCGCGTCTTCAATATGTACTTTCGTACTGAGTGTTTATCCCAGTATCCAGTTTTATGGAATTGTGTCACCAGGTGATATCTCCTAGTTAAAACGAACATCATTCTCTGCATTGTCTTACCCGCTGCACACATTCCTGTTGGAAAGTTCTCCATATGTCATTGAGGGTTTTCTCTACTTTCATTAGTCTCATATTTTAAATAAGTTTCCAATCTTAGCTGTTGAACGTTTCACTGTGTTTTTATTCTTCATTGTTGACCTTCTCTCGCATAACACATTTTCACTAGGCTATCGTCTTACTTAGTGTTTTAATGCTTGGTACTTATGTTATCACATGCATCAGTTCGTTGTCTGAGTAATGCTTTATGACGATTTCGACCACAACGTGAACAGGTGGAAACAACGGCCCAGCACGTATTGATTTAAATGAAATTTGCTTCACATGTTGCAATCTTTTACAAACAACATTTTTTCAAGTTGGGAATGCTTGTAGCCACTTTTGAAACAACCTAACACGAATATCTTCCACAGCAGTTGAACTCAGTGTTGACCTGCTTCGCATGATGTGTAGCACTTCTCAAGACGCTCGCTGTATTCCATTAATTCCCTACAACTACCGAAATCTACATACTTTGGTAAACGAGTAAGCACGATTAGATGGTGGCATTAGAAACAGTAAGTTTTTAAAGACAGCTTAAGCAAAGCTTCATCTTAGAATTATTCGTTGAATTTCCTTTGAGCGCAGTAGATTCCTCATCCATTACACGTCTGACTAACTGGATGAAAGGAGAAGCGTTTATATCTAAACTGTGGATTTGAAAACGACTACCATTTAATTTCTGGTCAGTAAGTCGTGGCTTCATCTTTCCAAATTATGGACCACGCTTACTATATGGAATGGAAGGACATTAAAAAAGTGTACCCAACAGTAATCGACGTGGATTACGAAATGGACTGTCGATGGTTGACATCGTCACTGCCTCATTATGACAGGCCACCTGGTAAAATGGATACTCAGTACTTATTTCATTAATTTTCAGTTATAAAATTAGGCAAGAATTTTTTTATCATATTTATAAGAGACAAATTGTTCAAGGATGGAAACATAAATGAGGGGGAAGACATATACTAAGGATAACTAGAAATATAATAGATATTAGTAAACAAAAAACAACCAAGTCACAGAGATCAAGATTTTGGGTAGGAATGCAAGACAAGGTTGTGATGTTCATCGACAACTAATGGAGCCTCTGAAAGGACAATCGAGGTTTGATCTGGCCTACGGTCCAAGTTTTTGAAAGTTAATTTCTTTCTTTGAAAAACC